TAAATTAAATCTAGCACTAAGTAGGAACACGGTTGTTAGTCAATCGGCGAATCGTTTTTCCGGAGTTAATAGTTCCTTTTAAAAAAATATCTTGGTCACTCAATTGTTTGAGGAACTGTTTGAGGAACATTATTGTTTGCAATTGACTGCCACGTTTCGCCCACAAAATCCAAAGTCAATTCGCTTTACACTATTGGTTGTGAAATGCTTTTACTGTGTCTTTTAGCTTGCCTCAAGGAAACGTCTGGAAGCTCCTTTCAGAATAATATTGATTGGAAATGAAACCAGAGTTATTATAGAGGCAAACGTGGCAGCTGAATCTCCACCAGTAACAAGACAAGTAACTAATTAATTTGAACGTGTATATATATATGATAATCCTTGCATTTGATATAGCACCTTATCACGTCATTGAGACGTCTCAAAGCGGTTCACAGAATATATTGTAAAGTGAATTGACTCCGTATTTTGTGGGTGCATCGCGGGAGCCAATTGCGCACGGCAGTTTTCCACGAGCAGTCATGGATTGAGCAACCACATTTTTTTTTGGAGGGATTATTCCCCTCAGAAAGCAATCCGCCAATCAACTAACAACCAGGTTTCTATTTACTGCTAAGTAAACAGAGGGGTGTGGGGTAACAACAACAACAAGATTACATTTGTATAGCGCCTTTCACGTTGGGAGGACGTCCCAAGACGCTGGACAGAGTACAGCATTTCAGACCCGAGCTGGGGTCAGGGGGGAGAAGGGAGGGGAGGGGAAGGAGGGTGGCCGATGGCATGGTCGAAGAGGAGGGTCTTGAGGTGGGACTTGAAGGAGGCTAAGGAGGGGGCGAGGCGGAGTGACTGGGGGATGGAATTCCAGAGGTTGGGGGCAGAGTGGCTGAAGGCTCTCCCACCAATGTTGGGGTGGGTGGGTCGGGGGACGTGGAGCAGGCCAGAGCCGGTTGAACGGACAGAACGGGCGGGTTGGTAGGGTGTTAGGAGGTTGCAGAAGGAGGGTGGGGCGAGGCCGTGGACGGTTTTGTATATGAGGACTAGGATCTTGAACTGGATCCTCGGAAGGATAGGGAGTCAGTGGAGTCGGGCGAGAGTGGGGGAGATGGGGTCACGGAGTTTGGTGCGGGAGAGGACATGGGCTGCAGAGTTCTGGATTATCTGCAGCCTGTGGAGGGAGGAGTTGGGAAGGCCAACAAGCAGGGCGTTTGCATAGTTGAGCCGGGAGGTGATGAAGGCACGAACAAGAGTTTCAGCAGGACACTTACCTAAGGTTTCACCCTGCCCTGGAATCGAATCCAGGATCTCTCACTTGCGAGGCGAGTGCTCTAACCACTATGTTACGGGACTCCACATAGTTAGTAAAAGAACAAATGGGGAGGTTTGGAGAATTGTTTTCACGCACAGAGTAGTTATGTATGGAACACTCTGCCCTGAGCGGTGATCGAGGCAGCATCTATATTGGATTTCAAAAGGAAACTAGACAAATATGTTAAAAGAGTAAACTTCAGTGGTAGGGGGAAAGGGCAGATAAACGGGACTGGAAGGATTGCGATCGCTCTTTAGGAAGCTGGCACAAACACATTGGGCCAACGTCTTCTGTGCCGTAAATTTCCATGGAATTTATCTGCACGCTGAAATTCCACCTAGTCTTAGTCTGCATGAATAATTTTGTCTTAAATTAAATCTTGAATTAAATTAAATCTAGCACTAAGTAGGAACACGGTTGTTAGTCAATCGGCGAATCGTTTTTCCGGAGTTAATAGTTCCTTTTAAAAAAATATCTTGGTCACTCAATTGTTTGAGGAACTGTTTGAGGAACATTATTGTTTGCAATTGACTGCCACGTTTCGCCCACAAAATCCAAAGTCAATTCGCTTTACACTATTGGTTGTGAAATGCTTTTACTGTGTCTTTTAGCTTGCCTCAAGGAAACGTCTGGAAGCTCCTTTCAGAATAATATTGATTGGAAATGAAACCAGAGTTATTATAGAGGCAAACGTGGCAGCTGAATCTCCACCAGTAACAAGACAAGTAACTAATTAATTTGAACGTGTATATATATATGATAATCCTTGCATTTGATATAGCACCTTATCACGTCATTGAGACGTCTCAAAGCGGTTCACAGAATATATTGTAAAGTGGTTGACTGCGTATTTTATGGGCGAAATGCAGCAGCCAATTGCGCACAGCAGAAGAAGAGAAAGAGATAGACAGATAGACACACACACACACACACACGAGTGAGACAGACATACACAGAGCAAGCAAGCAAGAGGAAGGGAGAGACGGACAGTGAGTGAGAAACAGACAGAGAGAAAGTGAGAAAGGAAGACTAATCTCTCTAGGACAGAGGAAATTTTCCACAATTCAACAGTCTGTATCTAAGCCGTGGACTTTTTTTTGTCTATGCTGTAGGTGGGAGTGTTGGACGGACAGTGGGGAGGGAGCTTTACTCTGTACCTAATCCATGCTGTCGCTGACTGGAAGTTCACAGTCAGAGATAATAATAACACATCAACCTCCATGGTTGCACACTACAACTCACCAAGCCAGTCAGGAACCTCGGCGTCTTGTTCAACCCTCAACTGTCTTTTCTGCCCCACTATCAAGCCATGACCCGCTCTGCCTTCCCTCACCTCCGTAACATTGCCCGACTCTGCCACTACCTCACCCCTCAGGCCGCTGAAACTCCTGTTCACGCCTTCATCACCTCTAGACTCGACTATGCAAACACCCTGCTTGTCGGCCTTCCCAACTCCTAATCCAGAACTCTGCAGCCCGTGTCCTCTCCCGCACTAAGCTCCGTGACCCCATCTCCCCCACTCTCGCCCAACTCCCTATTGGCTCCCTATCCTTCAGAGGATTCACTTTAAGATCCTGGTCCTCACATACAAAGCCTCCCATGGCCTCGACCTACCCTACCTCTGCAACCTCCTAACCCCCTACCAACCCGCCCATTCCCTCCGCTCAGCCGGCTCTGTCCTGCTCCACGTCCCCCGACCCGCCCACCCCACCATTGGCGGAAGAGCCTTCAGCCACTCTGCCCCCAATCTCTGGAATTCCATCCCCCAGTCACTCCACCTCGCCCCCTCCTTAGCCTCCTTCAAGTCCCACCTCAAGACCTTCCTCTTCGACCATGCCATTGGCCAACGCCCTTCCCCTCCCCTCCCTTACCCCCAACCCCAGCTCAGGTCTGAAATGCTGTACTCTGTCCAGCGCCTTGGGACGTCCTCCTGACGTGAAAGGCGCTATACAAATGTAATCTTGTTGTTGTTGTTAACAATCCTAATAATAATCCTTGCATTTGATAGAGTGCCTTATCACGTTGTTTAGACATCTCGAAGCACTTCACAGAATAGATCGTAAAGCGGATTAACTGTATTTTGTGGGTGAAAATCCGCATCCAATTGTACACTGTGGTGTGCCACAAACAGTCGTGGATTGAATGACCAAATTTATTTATTTATTCTAGAGGGATTATTACTGAAAACGATCGGCCAATTGACTAACTGGGTTCCTAATTACTGCTAGGTAAACAGAGGCGTGTGGAGTAAGGAAAATTGCCTAAATTTCATTCCTCCTTGAATCAAACCCAGGTCCTCTCGCTTGCGAGGTCACTAGGCTACAGGAGACATAGACGTGAGTGATTGTACCTGGGTGTGGGATGGAGCAATGTAGCTATGTAGAGACCGAGTGAGAAATGGCAGCACGTGACAAATCAGGCAGCTTCACTGGGGAGAGGGTGTGGGATGAGAGGGGGAGGAGAACATATCTGAGAAATCCCTTGATAAGTTGCTGAAAGCTGCCAAATGTGGGCGAGTTTGGGGAAGTGGAAGTCACAAACACAGAGCTGTTGGTTTCAGTCTAAACTGATGGGGAAGTGAGACATGCACTGAGGGGAAAGGTTATTGGGAGCAATGGTGCCTGTTACACTATAAAACCCTCCAACCCACCACCACCACTACCATCTCTAGCCAGGAATGAGAATAGAAAGCATTCAAGAATGGGATTTTGAAGTCCAGCAAATCCAGGAATTGCAGAGATGCTGATCCAGCGGGTTTAGGAATTGCAGGAACAACAACAACAACTTGGATTTATATAGTGCCCTCCACGCCGGACGGCATCTCAGAGCGCTTTACAGTAACGGATTCCGGGACCGAGCCAGGGGGAGGGGAGGAAGGTGACCAAAGGCGCGGTCTAAAAGAAAGGTCTTCAGCAGAGACCTGAAAATGGGAAGGCAGGCAGCGAGACGAAGGGAGTGAGGAAGGCAGTTCCAGAGCCTCGGGGCATAGTGACTGAAGGCACGGCTGCCGAGGGTGGAGCGGAGGATTCGGGGGACGAGGAGGAGGCCAGACCCGGAGGAACGATGGCAACAGGTACTGTTTTGAGGAGAGAGGAGGTCACAGAGGAACGGGGGTGCAGAGGAGTGCAGGGATTTGAATACAAGGGTGAAGATCTTGAAATCAAATGCTAGTAATCCCAGGGGTATTGTGCACCCTTTCTTGTGTCAAGAATTAAATACATTCAGGAATCACACAACCTAAGCTGACACTCCAATGCAGCGCTGGTGTGTGTGTTGCATTGTTGGAGGTGCCGACCTTCGGATGAAATGTTAAACCAAGGTCCCTTCTGCCTGTTCAGGTGGATGTCAAAGATTCCATGGCGCTATTCGAAAAGAGAAGGGAGTTTTTCTCTCCCAGTGTCCTGGCCGACAATCCCCCAAACAAAACTAGTCACTCACTCCATGGCTGTAGTACGCTGCATTTCACCCACAAAACACACTTTACATTATATCCTGTGAAGCTCTTTGAGACGTGATAAGGCGCTATATCAAATGGAGGTATTATTATTACATATATAATTCCATTTCCCTGCTCTTTCCCCATCATGCCTAGTCTCAGTGCTCGTTCAACATCGTTCCCTCTTTCTCTCTCTCATTCCCTCTCTCTCTGTCTCTTTCTCCCCCTCTCTCCCTCTCCATGCAATTGAAACTTCAGGAGAAGAAAATACATCCTCTCTTCAGGACACGTTCTCTGTGCTCTATCCACCAACTCATTCCAGTAAGCAGATTCTCTGTTTGTGTGCCTGTGTCTGTATCACTCAGTCTCTGTTTTTGTCTCTCTTTCTTTGTGTCGATATGCCTCTCTCGGTGTCTGCCTCTCTCTACCTCTCTCTCTTTCTCTCTCTTAATTCCGGCCCTATGTTTGTCTCTGTCTGACCTTGTCATTTACTTTTTTCGCGTCTCTGCCTTTCTCTGTATGGCAGCCTCTGTGTCTCCCTTTGTCTCTTTTCTCTCACAGTGATTTAATCACATGTCTCTGTGCCCTTTCTCTGTACTGTAACCCCTGCCTCCGTTTCTCTTTTTCTTTTTCTTGCCCTGTCTTGTCACCTGAATTGCAAGGCAGTGAATGACTAAATTGATGACGTAATGGATAAAAAGAGATGGTAATCTGGAAATAAATAATTAACCTGAATTTAGTGCAGAAACACATGGCTGTTCTGTACCAGCAATGTCCCACGTGGAGGCAAATTCATTTTGAGTTTTTGGCCAGAGGGAATGTCGGATACCTCGCATGGCATTTAAATGTGTATGAAAACTTACAAAAATTTAAGGGGAAAATTGCACAAAAATTTGACTTTGTTCGGAAGCTTTGCCAGGCTGTAATAACCGCTTTCTCCTGCTTCCCTTCCATAATCTCCCTCCTACTCATTCCACTAATCCCACAGCCTCTTCTGTAATAGACAATTCCCACATTCCCACTTTGCTGCTGCTGGTAAATTGGTCTCTCTCCATTGAAGCACTTCAAACGCAGTGTTTAAGTCTCAGTCTGGCTCAGTTGGTGGCACTCTTGCTTGTGGGTCAATACAGCACAAAACACAAAATTATATTCGTAAAGCATCGGGAGGACGTCCCAAGGCGCTGAACAGACAAGGAAATGGACTGGGGCAATGGATTGCATTCCTGTAGCATCGCGGTTATCACGCTTGTCCCGCAAGTGAGAGGACCCGAGTTTGATTCCCGTGCAGGGCGAAACCTTAAGCAAGTTTCCTTACACCACATGCCTCTGTTTACCTAGCAGTAAGTAGGTGTTTACTTAGCAGTAGACATGATAAGACACTGTGTAAATTGCAAGGATTGGGTTGGCAAGCTTCTTCCTAGTTTACATAAATAGATAAATTATTCATTCACTTTATGGCTGGGTGGGGAGAGGGGGAGGGGACTTACTTGTTCTGCACAAATTGGCTGCCTTTTTTCCCTGCAGACAGATTCAAAACAGTTGATGGGAAATGTGAGATGCTTTGACATAGTGAGACATTAAATATGCAAAGACTAAATATCAAAAACTGGTTTGTCTTTCGTTCCCCTCCATTCCGCCATCGGAGGCTGTGCTTTCAGCTACTGTGTCCTGAAACTTTGGAACTTTCTCCCTCAATCCCTCTGCCTCGACCACTCCTTCCCCTTTCTCGATTTTCCCCTTGACCTTCCTCTTTGACCATGCTTACCGATCACTCCCTCCCTCCACCCCCACCGACTTGGCATCGGGCTCCGCCATTGTTAAGCGCTTCGAGACTGCCTGCATGCCACTATATAAATGTCAGTTGTCGATGGTGATGCTGTTGGCACAGTTTCCTTATCCACAAACAATATGTAAGTATCAACCCAAACACTGAAAGAAATCAGGCAAGACGGTTTATATAAATATACAGATCTGTGTGGCAGAGAGAGAGAGTGGAGGGTCCAGGGATGGCAATAGGCTTCAGAGACCAAAGACAGAATCAGAACCAGCTCCATTGACAGTCTTGTGCGATGGGGCTCACTGAGAGGATGACGCACATATGTCTGAAATTGAGGTTTCCCTCAGGGCTCAGCAAGACACGAGATAGAACATGTCAAAGAGGAAGAAAGCAACAAAATAAGCAAGGCAAGCTGAATCCAGTGCTGAATCAGCAATGTGGTTTAGTTCGGAAAGAAACAATTTAACAGTAGTCCTTGCATTTGAACACAACGCCCTAACATGTCATCAAGATGTCTTGAAGGTTTTGCTAGAAAGTGTGGTGACGTTTTGCAGGAGATCACAACAGCCAATCTATGCACGGCAATGTCCCACAAACAGCCCCCCACAAAATGTGCATTTTTGTAGGGCTCTAACGGCATCAAAACATCTTAGAATGTCTCTGAGTAATTACCATCACATATGTTGGCTGTTTTTGTAGGCAAACGGTGCAGTCTTTTAGTATTTCGTAAGCACCACACACACACACACAATCAAAGAGATTGTTTGGCCAGGACACCGGGAGAAACTGCCTTCTCTCTTCAAGAAGTACAGTATACCGGGATCTTCCACGACCACCTCAACACGCGATACAGCGCCTTCTCAAACGTAGCTTCACAGCAACAACAGAAGAAAATTACATTTGCATAGCGCCCTTCAAGTCGGGAGGACGTCCCAAGGCGCACAGGTTTAGTTTGCATTTTCCATGCAAATGCAGCAGTTAACTTATAGTCAACAAACTTGAGATGGGCCAGAGATTTATTCGAAACTCTCCTGTGGTTGTTTGAATTAGGCAGAAGCTCCCATTAAAGTGCCGAAATAATGATTGGTGTAAAGCTGCTCTCTAGTAGAAGTGCTGATTCCAAACACTGACTAACTGGAGAGGGAGGGGAAGAAAGAAGATGTGGGATTTTGGGATGTTCTTGCTATGAACAAAAATGCAAGATTTATTATGTTCTCAGCCTGGAGCCAACAGACAAGGATTCATAAAATACTGACTTGTAGTCAGGACAGGACCTGATAGAGGTCTTTAAAATAATGAGGAGTTTTGATAGAGTCAATTAGAAAGAAATTATTTCCTCTGGTCAGTAACTGGAAGGCATCAATTTAAGATAATTATAATAATCATAATCCTTCCATTTGATATAGCACTTGGTCACATCGTTGAGACGTCTCAAAGCGCTTCACAGAATATATTGCAAAGTGAATTGACTCCGTATTTTGTGGGTGCATCGCGGGAGCCAATTGCGCACGGCAGTTTTCCACGAGCAGTAATTGATTGAGCAACCACATTTTTTTTTGGAGGGATTATTCCCCTCAGAAAGCAATCCGCCAATCAACTAACAACCAGGTTCCTATTTACTGCTAAGTAAACAGAGGGATGTGGGGTAACAACAACAACAAGATTACATTTGTATAGCGCCTTTCACGTTGGGAGGACGTCCCAAGACGCTGGACAGAGTACAGCATTTCAGACCCGAGCTGGGGTCAGGGGGAAGGAAAGGAGGGGAGGGGAAGGAGGGTGGCCGATGGCATGGTCGAAGAGGAGGGTCTTGAGGTGGGACTTGAAGGAGGCTAAGGAGGCGGCGAGGCGGAGTGACTGGGGGATGGAATTCCAGAGGTTGGGGGCAGAGTGGCTGAAGGCTCTCCCACCAATTTTGGGGTGGGTGGGTCGGGGGACATGGAGCAGGCCAGAGCCGGTTGAACGGACAGAACGGGCGGGTTGGTAGGGTGTTAGGAGGTTGCAGAAGTAGGGTGGGGCGAGGCCGTGGACGGTTTTGTATATGAGGACTAGGATCTTGAACTGGATCCTCTGAAGGATAGGGAGCCAGTGGAGTCGGGCGAGAGTGGGGGAGATGGGGTCACGGTGTTTGGTGCGGGAGAGGACATGGGCTGCAGAGTTCTGGATTATCTGCAGTCTGTGGAGGGAGGAGTTGGGAAGGCCGACAAGCAGGGCGTTTGCATAGTTGAGCCGGGAGGTGATGAGGCACGAACAAGAGTTTCAGCAGGACACTTACCTAAGGTTTCACCCTGCCCTGGAATCGAATCCAGGATCTCTCACTTGCGAGGCGAGTGCTCTAACCACTATGTTACGGGACTCCACATAGTTAGTAAAAGAACAAATGGGGAGGTTTGGAGAATTGTTTTCACGCACAGAGTAGTTATGTATGGAACACTCTGCCCTGAGCGGTGATCGAGGCAGCATCTATATTGGATTTCAAAAGGAAACTAGACAAATATGTTAAAAGAGTAAACTTCAGTGGTAGGGGGAAAGGGCAGGTAAACGGGACTGGAAGGATTGCGATCGCTCTTTAGGAAGCTGGCACAAACACATTGGGCCAACGTCTTCTGTGCCGTAAATTTCCATGGAATTTATCTGCACGCTGAAATTCCACCTAGTCTTAGTCTGCATGAATAATTTTGTCTTAAATTAAATCTTGAATTAAATTAAATCTAGCACTAAGTAGGAACACGGTTGTTAGTCAATCGGCGAATCGTTTTTCCGGAGTTAATAGTTCCTTTTAAAAAAATATCTTGGTCACTCAATTGTTTGAGGAACTGTTTGAGGAACATTATTGTTTGCAATTGACTGCCACGTTTCGCCCACAAAATCCAAAGTCAATTCGCTTTACACTATAGGTTGTGAAATGCTTTTGAGACACCACTTCTGGAACAGATAGTAAGTTGTTCAAATAATAATAGCATCTGTATTTGATATAGCGCCTGATCATGTCGTCACCACATCTGAAAAAAGCTAGGAAGGCTATACAGATTTGTAAAGTAATGTGGCCGTAAGTATTTTGTGGGTGAAACACAGCATCCAATTTGATTTGCACACAGCAATGTTTCACAAGCAGCCATGGAATGAATGACCCAATTTTATTAGGGCTTTGTTGGCTCGGATACCAGGAGAAACTTCCTTCTCTTTTTCAATTAGTGTCATGGGATATTTAACATCTGTGGGGATTGTTGTGTGTGGAGGGGAGATGTCGGGTGGGTGGAGTGTTGTGTATGTGGAGGGGGGTGAGTGTGTGGATGTGGGGGAGTGTGTGGATGGGGGGAGTGTGTAGAGGGTGAACGCTGTGTGTGTGTGTGTGTGTGTGTGTGGAGGGGGAAGTGTGTGGAGGGGTGAGTGTTGTGTGTGTGGAGGGGGGAGTTTGGAAGGGGGGAGTGTTGTGTGTGTGGATGGGAGGGGGGAGTGTGAGGAGGGGGGAGTGTGTGGGGGGGCAGTGTTGTGTGTGTGGAGGGGGGAGTGCGTGTGGAAGGGGGAGTGTTGTGTGTGGAGGGGGGAATGTTGTGTGTGGAGGGGGGAATGTTGTGTGTGTGGAGGGGGGAATGTTGTGTGTGTGCAGGGGGAGTGTGTGCAGGGGGAGTGTGTTGAGGGGGGAGTGTGTGGAGGGGGAAGTATGCGGAGGGGGAGTGTGTGGAAGGGTGAGTGTTTTGTGTGTGGATGAAGGGGGGGGAGTGTGTGGAGGGGGGAGTGTGTGGAGGGTGAGTATTTGGAAGGGGGAGTCTGTGGAGGGGGGAGCGTGTGGAGTGTTGCGTGTGTGGATGGGGAGGAGTGTGTGGAGGGGGGAGTGTGTGAAGGGGGGAGTGTTGTGTGTGGTTGGGGGCGGGGGGGGGTAGTGTGTGGAGGGGGAGTGTTGTGTGTGGAGAGGAGAGGTCGGGAGTGGGGGCGGGGGGGCAGGGGGTGGGGGCAGGTTATGCAATGGGTCAGACGATGCCTTTACATCTGTGGGTCATGGGGACAATCCTAGATCCTGACAGAGGGGAGGAAAGGCTCTGCTTTTAGATGGGGACTTGGGTGGGTCAGGGATCACCCCAGACACCAGTGGTGACCATCTGCTCTGTGTCTCTTCTCACTTGTGGGTGTTCAGAAGGCCTCACAGAGCTTGGCCAACTCGGGCAATGTGGGTTGAGGAGGAGGGTAAGTTGTAGAGAGTATCATTCCTGTGAGCTTTTTGTGCATGAATAGGCCTTTCATACCTGCTGCGCTCGGATGGGGGTGGGAGGGGGGGGGGGGTGGGAGGTCAGAAGGAAGCTTGTTACTGTGGTATGTGAGGCAGATTATAGCTGTAATTGACTTTCCATGTTGGACTCTCAGTATCCGACCCCAGGGCTGAGTAACCTTCACACCGGCACAGTGACCCCACTCAGTCAGTCGCTGTGTTACAGGACGGTGTAGCTGTGTGTGTCCTGGAACTCACTGCGCATGACACGCGCTCAGTTCCCACAAAAGGGAACTTAGTGGCTCCACATCTCAGCTGTTGACTGCCCGGCGTCAGGCTCTGTCACTGTTAAGCGCTCCGAGACTCAGCCCCACGTGAAGGGCAATGTATAATTGCTTGGTGGTGTTGTTGCAGCGCTTTATTCAGGTCGGCGGAGAGACAGACCCAGAGAGAGACGAAACAACAAAGTTACATTTACAGAATATAGCGCCTTTCACGTCGGAAGGACATATCAAGGCGCTGGACCGTTAAGGGTTTGCACCTTTTAATATAACTCGATCCAAATCAAGGGGGTGTTAGTAGCTTTTTAAGTGTCTCTCGTAAATCCACCACTCTAAGCCACACACTTTATCCCACTCCCAGTGTCCTATGGTATTTCCTGCCCTTCTTATCTTCCTTCTTATTCTTTGTGTCCTTTTGTTAATTGTCAATTTACTCTTAAAAGAGTATCCAACATACCTGACGTGGGAGTTGGAATCAAGAGGGGTGGAAGGTAGGAGGAGTGGGACTGGAGAGTGGCCGAAAGCCCGGTCAAAGAGGAGGGTCTTGAGATGGGTCTTGAAAGAGGAGAAGGGTGGGGGAGAGGCTCCAGGATGGATTTCTAGAGGGTAGGGGGCAGAAGAGCTGAAGACCTGACCGCCAGTGGTAGGGTGGCAGGGCGGGGGACACGTAGCAAGCCAGTACCCGCCGAGCGGAGAGTGCGGACAAGTTGGTATGTTCTTAAAAGGCTGCAGAGGTAGAGTGGAGCAAGGCTGTGGAGTGCTTTAAAAGTGGGGACGTGGAGTATTCAGGGGGTGAGATCATCTCCTCATCTCTTTATCAGGAGCTGTATTGTGAATGCAGATGGAAATAGAAGATTCCTGATCAACGGGTGTGGTGGTGAGGTCTGGTGATCTGAGTTGTCACAGATAAACAAGAAGAGTGAAGGATCTGGACTGGAGATAGGACTCAGAGTACGGACCTCAGACATCGCTTGGACGTCAGAGCGCAAAAGGCAACTGCGAGTAGACACGCAGACAGATTCTCTCTTCTCAGGTCAGTACAAGTACTCAGAGCATTCACCTCGCAAGCGAGAGGACCCAGGCAGGGTGAAACCTTAGACAAGTTTCCTTACTCGTTTGTTAGTCAATTGATGGATCGCGTTCCAGGTGTAATAAACCCTTGAAAAAAAAATAATAATTTGGTCATTCAATCCACGACTGTTTGTGGGACACTGCTGTGTGCAATTGGCTGCCACGTTTCGCCCACAAAATACACAGTCAATTTACTTTACAGTGTATCCTGTGAAGTGCTTTGAGACGTCTGAACGACGTGATAAGGTGCTACGTCAAATGCAAGGATCATTATTATATATTTTTAAGTGTCTATGTGTTTGGAGGCTTCTGGTGACACTGAGTTTGGTGAGGGGGGTAAATTGGTGCAGAGGGGTCGAGTTTGTAGAAAGAGAGAAGTGTTTGGTGTGTGATGGGGCAAATGCTGTTGAAATCTGAAACAAACACAGACTTCAATGAGAAACTGGATTAGTGTCATCTAGTTCGCCTTCCGTCTTCCTGGCGATCGAATGCACATATGTCCCAAACTGCCTATGGACTATATCCCATAACATTGTTTTCTAAAAGAAAACTATCTAATCTGTGTTTGAAAGAATCAACACTTCCTGCTTCAACCGTCTCCCAAGGGAGCCTGTTCCATGGGTTCACTCTTCGCTCACTGAAATAGTGTTTGCGTAGATTTGTTCTGAATTTAACTCCATCTTATTCTTAGTGTCCTCTTGTTTTACTAATCTGGACAAATTGAGACTCATTATTCTCTTCCATGAAGTGAATAATAACAATCCTTGCATTTGATATAGCGCCTCACCATGTCTTCGACATGTCTCAAAACACTTCACAGGATATACTGTAAAATGGATTGACTGTATTTTGTGGGTGAAATGCAGCAGCCAGTTGCGCACAGCAGTGTCCCCCACAAACAGTTGTGGATTGAGTGACCAATTTTTTATTTTGGGGGATTGTTCGCCAGGAAACCGGGAGGGAGAAATTTGTTATTGTCTTTGTTCAAAGGGGATGATGATCTGAAAATATCTGATACAGTGCCTTTCACCTCAGGAGGATGTCTCACAATGCTTGACAGGATATACTGTAAAATGCAGTAACTGTGTGTTTTGTGGCTGAATGCAATTTGACTCAGCAATATCCCCATAAATAGCCATGGAGTGAATGATTAATTGTATTTGGGGAGATTGTTGACCACGACACTAGGAGAGAGAGAAACTCCCTTCTCTTTTCGAATAGTGCTGTGGGATCTTTAACGTGCACCTGAACAGGCAGATGGCACCTCAGTTTAGCATCTTACCCGAAGGACGACACCTCCGAAAAAGCAACACCTCCCCAGCCCTCCATTGGTGTGTCAGCTTAGAGATTGTTGGCCGGGACAAGAGAAAAGAGAAATGCCCTTCTCATTTTGAATGGTGCCGTTGTCAATCCCTAACGATGACCTGAACAGGCCCTGGCGAAACCTCATTGTAACATCCCACCCGAAGGCCGGCATGTCCGATAATACATCAGTCTAAGCTGTGAGCTCAAAGTGCTCCTGATAACTCTGCATGCCAAAGCCCTCGTGAGTAGGGTGGGTCTAGCTGGAATACCAGCAGGAAAGCTTGCCAGACAATGTTCTCAATGGCAAACTATGTGGTTTTAGCTGGTTAGACTCCAGCTGTTACCACAATGCACACTCTGAGCTCCCCACGCCTTGGCTCTTGCCAACCTGTGCCTAATACTTTCTGAAATTGGGTAAACAGGATGCGTCCTTCACAGGGAGAGAGTGCGCACTCCATCCCAACAAGTTATCTCTGGAATTTCCATGTGTAGTGGGATGCCTGGAATTTTCAGTTTGGTTTGGATACCCGGTGATGGGTTTCCGCATGTGCCAGACACCCGGCTGAACAAATAATAATAAAAAAGTCACATAAACAGTCTCTGCCTGTTCCTCTAACTCTGGGAATTTGTTCTCATTAGAAACACGTGAGGAATGAGATCTTCAAAGGTTGTGAGGTTATTGCAGGAGAGGGGGGGATGAGCAGGAGAGTGGGCAGAGAGCATGGGGAGGCGGGAGGGGGTGAGAGGTTTGCTGGATCCGAGAGTTGGGCAGTCGTTCCCACACTGGGGTCTGTGGTCAGGGCCCTCCCAGGAGGTGAGCTCATGTCAAAGACAAATAGCTGGTTAGGGGGAAAGATTAAAGGTTGTAGGGATTAAGTGCAGAGCCATACGATCAAACGCTCCACGGGACACGACTGGATTATCTGCTGGTGGTGGAGGAGGAGACCGTGGGAATAGCATCTGCTGAACAGAGCCCTGCCACACAGCTAGTAATCTACCAAGGAAGGTCCTGCTCTCCTATGCAATCCAGTGACTTTCCTCCAGTTTACTTTTCGCTGGACACCACTCGAGTAGCAAGCTCAGCCTCGGAGAGACGCACCCTGTGTTTAACCCGTCCTGACCTGGAGTGCTGGACGGACAGTGCTTTACTCTGCTTCTAACTCGTGCTGTATTTCTCCTTGTTGGAGGGTTAAGGTGTGATCTGAATATTGAGAGCGTAGGAGTGCTGTCCGGCAAAAATGACAATGAAACAGGAGCCAAGAGACCGGTAAGTTAAGTCTGGCGAAAGCATAAGTTCTTTGCGGGGAGGAGGGGTAGTAGAGGAGAGGACCGTAAGCGCTCAATGATGCTCCCCCATGTGAAGACCACTGTACAAACTCAAGCTATTGTTGTTGTCGTTGTGGGTCGTGATATTGCCATTGGTTTGATCATGCATTTCTCTCTCCAGTATTGTTCCCCGCCGGTGTACCCCTACCATCAACCAGCTGTGCAGGGAATAGGGGGGTTCTGGGTGGGTGGGTGAGGGGAGGGGGTTGTGTGGGTGGGGGTTGAGGGGGCTCTGTGTGGGTGGAATGGGCTGAGTGGGTGAGGGTGAAGGGGTGCTGTGTGGGGGCTGGCTAGACAGGTTCTCACTGTGCTGTGTATCACAGGTTCAATGCTGTGTGGCTAATATTTCTGATCTTGGGCCTGGGGACACTGCTACCCTGGAACTTCTTCATGACGGCCATTGGGGTAAGAGGAACCTCACGCTTTACCTGTGCTGGACGGACAGTGTTTTACTCTGTGTCTAACGTGTGCAGTAACTGACTGCTGGACGGACGGTGTAGAGAAAGGTTAACTCTATGCTAACTGAGCTGTTTTTGTTTTCCTCGGGCAGTATTTTAAGCATCGTTTGCAAGATGAAATCGATCCAAACCTGACGCTGAATGGGACACAGCCCTTGGAAGAAAACTACCTGCAGGGGATTTTCGGAAACGTGATGACTCTCTGTGCCATGCTGCCCCTCCTCATCTTCAGCTGTCTCAACTCCATCCTCCATGAGAGGTACAACCAGTCAGAGGGAGTGAGGTTGTGCCCCTGAGGGGGTGAGGCCGTGCCTCTGTGTGTGTGTGTGTGTGTGTGTGTGACAGACAGGTTATATAATCTCTCTCTGCCTCTTTCTATCTCTCTCTCTCTTTCTCCCTCTCGCTCTTTCTCTCAATGCTTGTGAAGCGCTGCAATGTCAGAGGTGCTGTCCTTCGCTGAGATATTAAACCGAGGTCCCGTCTGCCTGTTCAGGTGGATGTTAAAGATCCCGTGGCACTATTCGAAAAGAGAAGGGAGTCCTTTCTCTCTCCCTGGGTCCTTGCCAACAATCCCCCAAATAAAAGTGGTCGCTCACCTCCTGACTGTTTGTGGGACATTGCAGGGTGCAAACTGGCTTCAGCGTTTCGCCCACAAAATATAGTCACTCCACTTTGCATTATGAAGCGCTTTGAGATGTTTTAACAATGTGAACGGAGATTTCCCCCAGTTCAGGTGCAAAACCTTAACTGTCCAGTACCTTGGGACATTCTTCCTTGCTGTACAATGGCAATTTGATGTTGTTATACCAAATGTAAGAAGGAATACATTTTTCTTTTTCTTTCTTTCTCCCCTTAGGATTCCTCAGGCAGTGAGAATCAATGGCAGTCTGATCGCCATCTTCCTGCTCTTTCTGCTGACCTCGGTCCTCGTTAAAATAAACATGAATCCCACCACTTTCTTCATAATCACCATGGTTACGATCATCTCCGTCAACTGTACGTCGCTAAGGGTCAGGCATGTGGGGAAGGTGTCATGCCCACGCATTCGTGTTCATGTGTGCATGAGCGAGAGGTCAAAGTGTGTATGAGAAGTCAAAGTTGTGGGTTTGTATGTATGTTTGAGACGTCAGAGTGTGTGTGTGTAGGTGGGTGAGTGAGAGGTTCTGCTCCGCCACTGTGAAGAACTCTGTGTGGGGGCGCTATATAAATGCAAGTAGTTGTTGTTATCGGAGTTTGTGTGCTGTGTACGTGGATGAGAGTTTGAAGTGTGCGTGTGTGGTCAGGGTGTGTGTGTGTGAGGTCAGTGTGTGTGTGAGATTAGAGTATGTGTGTGTGAGGTTAGAGTGTGTGTGTGTGAGGTTAGAGTGTGTGTGAGGTTAGAGTGTGTGTGTGAGGTTAGAGTTTGTGTGTGTATGAGGTTAGAGTTTGTGTGTGTGAGGTTAGAGTGTGTGTGAGGTTAGAGTGTGTGTGTGTGTGAGGTGTGTGTGTGTGAGGTTAGAGTGTATGTGTGTGTGAGGTTAGACTGTGTGTGTGAGGTTAGAGTTTGTGTGTGTGAGGTTAGAGTGTGTGTGTGAGGTTAGAGTGTGTGTGTGTGAGGTTAGAGTGTGTGTGAGGTTAGAGTGTGTGTGTGTGAGGTTAGAGTTTGTGTGTGTGTGTGTGAGGTATGTGTGTGTGAGGTTAGAGTGTATGTGTGTGTGTGTGTGTGAGGTTAGAGTGTGTGTGTGTGTGTGAGGTTAGAGTGTGTATGTGTGTGAAGTTAGCGTATGTGAGGTTAGAGTGTGTGTGTGTGTGTGTGAGGTTAGAGTGCGTGTGTGTGAGATTAGAGTGTGTGTGTGTGAGGTTAGAGTGTGTGTGAGGTTAGAGTGTGTGTGTGTGAGGTTAGAGTGTGTGTGTGTGAGGTTAGAGTTTGTGTGTGTGTGTGTGAGGTGTGTGTGTGTGAGGTTAGAGTGTATGTGTGTGTGTGTGTGAGGTTAGAGTGTGTGTGTGTGTGTGTGAGGTTAGAGTGTGTATGTGTGTGAAGTTAGCGTATGTGAGGTTAGAGTGTGTGTGTGTGTGTGAGGTTAGAGTGCGTGTGTGTGAGATTAGAGTGTGTGTGTGAGGTTAGAGTGTGTGTGAGGTTAGAGTGCGTGTGTGTGAGATTAGAGTGTGTGTGTGAGGTTAGAGTGTGTGTGAGGTTAGAGTGTGTGTGTGTGAGGTTAGAGTGTGTGTGTGTGAGGTTAGAGTTTGTGTGTGTGTGAGGTGTGTGTGTGTGAGGTTAGAGTGTATGTGTGTGTGAGGTTAGACTGTGTGTGTGAGGTTAGAGTTTGTGTGTGTGAGGTTAGAGTGTGTGTGTGAGGTTAGAGTGTGTGTGTGTGAGGTTAGAGTGTGTGTGAGGTTAGAGTGTGTGTGTGTGAGGTTAGAGTTTGTGTGTGTGTGTGTGAGGTGTGTGTGTGTGAGGTTAGAGTGTATGTGTGTGTGTGTGAGGTTAGAGTGTGTGTGTGTGAGGTTAGAGTTTGTGTGTGTGTGAGGTGTGTGTGTGAGGTTAGAGTGTATGTGTGTGTGAGGTTAGACTGTGTGTGTGAGGTTAGAGTTTGTGTGTGTGAGGTTAGAGTGTGTGTGTGAGATTAGAGTGTGTGTGTGTGAGGTTAGAGTGTGTGTGAGGTTAGAGTGTGTGTGTGTGAGGTTAGAGTTTGTGTGTGTGTGTGAGGTGTGTGTGTGTGAGGTTAGAGTGTATGTGTGTGTGTGTGTGTGTGAGGTTAGAGTGTGTGTGTGTGTGTGTGAGGTTAGAGTGTGTATGTGTGTGTGAGGTTAGAGTGTGTATATGTGTGAAGTTAGCGTATGTGAGGTTAGAGTGTGTGTGTGTGTGAGGTTAGAGTGCGTGTGTGTGAGATTAGAGTGTGTGTGTGTGTGAGGTTAGAGTGTGTGTGAGGTTAGAGTGTGTGTGTGAAGTTAGCGTGTGTGAGGGTAGAGTGCGTGTGTGTGTGTGAGGTTAGAGTGTGTGTGAGGTTAGTGTGTGTGAGGTTAGAGTGTGTGTGTGTGGTTAAAGTATGTGCGTGTGTGTGAGGTCAGAGTGTGTGTGAGGTTAGAGTGTGTGTGTATGTGAGGTTAGAGTGTGTGTATGTGAGGTTAAAGTATGTGTGTGTGTGTGTGTGTGAGGTTAAAGTATGTGTGTGTGAGGTGTGTGTGAGATTAGAGTGTGTGTATGTGTGAGGTTAGAGTATGTGTGTGTGTGTAAGGTGTGTGTGTGAAGTTAGAGTGCGCGTGTGTGAGGTTTGAGTATGTGTGTGTGTGTGAGGTTAAAGTATGTGCGTGCGTGTGTGTGATCAGTATGTATGTGTGTGAACTCAAGAGTGTGTGAGAGAGGTAGATAAGAGAGTGCTAGTACAGTATCCAAACTCCTGGTCACACAGATCATGACCTCATTTGGCTGTGAAAAAGCCTTTTGAAACCAAGAATTTCCCTGGTTTACTGAAATCCGGGTATCCAGAATTCGGACCAGTCCCCAAATAGAAATATTTAAAAACATTTTTTGCACAAGTGTAGACTCTTCCGTCCACTCTCCTATCATGCATTTTTCTGCCTCACCGTGCTTGCTGGCCTTCAGTGGCCAAGGATATCGACTTTACTCAGTTTGAATCCCGAGAGCAAAGGAGATCTTACTTGCTCTCTTCTGCTCGTGAGATTCAAACCATTACAAAGTTAAGGCTAGAAGTTAAGGCTCCTCTAGGGCAGAGTGACCATAACATGATGGAATATAGTGTTAAGTTAGAGAGTGATGTCGTTAAATCTGAAGCAATGGTCTTAAATTTAAATAGAGCCAACTTTGCAGGTATGAGAGAGAATTTAGCTAAAATAGACTGGGGAATTAGATTAAAGGATATGCCAGTAAACCAGAATGGCAAACCTTTAAAGATATAGAACATGATTCCCAGCAATCACATATTCCCTTGAGGAATAAAAATAGCATGGGAAAAATACTTCAACCATGGCTAATGAGAGCAGTTAGGAAAAGTATAAAATTAACAGAAAAGATCAATACTACTGTCCAAAAAGAGTAGTAAACCTGAGGATTGGGAGGGCTTCAGAGACCAACAAAGAAAAACTAAGAAACTGATTAGGAGGGAGAAAATGGATTATGAGGGGAAACTAGCTAGGAACATAAAAACAGACTGAAAGAATTTTTACAAATACATAAAGAGGAAGAGACTATCAAAAGTGAATGTGGGTCAGACAGACAGAGACAGGAGGAATTATAATGGGGGATAAAGATATGGCAGAGCCATTAAACAAATACTTTACTTCTGTCTTCACGTTAGAAGACACTGAAAACTTACCAAAAATAGAGGGGAACCAAGAAGCTAATGTTAGTGAGCAATTTAGGGAAATTAACATCAGTAAAGAATTAACACTAGGGAAACTGTTGGGATTGAGAAATGACAAATGCCCTGGACCTAATGGCCTGCATCCTAGGGTTTTAAAAGAGGTGGCTGCTGAGATAATAATCCTAAATTAGGGACCTCCTAGTGGGGTACTTAGAAGACCATAACATGATTAGGCAAAGTCAACATGGCTTTACAAAAGGGAAGTCATGCTTAACAAATCTTTTAGAGTTCTTTTAGGATGTAACTAGCAGGTTAGATAGGGGGGAACCAGTCGATGTAGTGAATTTAGATTTTCAGAAGCCATTCGACAAGGTGTCACATAAAAGGCTGCTACACAAGATTAGAGCCCATGGAATTGAAGACAATATATTAGCATGGATCGAAGAATGGCTAACGGGAAGAAAACCGAGAGTAGGGATAAACTGGTCCTTCTCAGATTGGGAGAATGTGACTAGTGGAGTGCCACAAGGATCAGTGCTTGGGCCTCAACTATTTATATCAATGATCTAGATGAGGACATAGAACTTAAAATATCTAAATTTGTGGATGATAATAATAATAATAATAATAATAATCCTTGCATTTGATATAGCGCTTTTCACGTCGGGAGGACGTCCCAAAGCGCTTCACAGAACACACTGTAAAGTGAATTGACTGTATATTTGTGGGCGAACGCGGCAGCCAATTGCGCACAGCAATGTCCCACAAACAGTCGTAGATTGAAAATGACCAATTTATTATTGTTTTGAGTTTTGGAGGGATTATTATTAGGCGTGTGGAGTAAGGAAACTTGCCCAAGGTTTCGCCCTGCCTGGAATTGAACTCAGATCTCTCACTTGCAAAGCGAGTGCTCTAACCACTGAGCTACAGGACTCCAATACTAAGCTACAGATACTACAGCTACAGATACTAAGCTAGGTGGGAGAGTAAGCTCTGAGGATGACACAAAAAGATTGAAAGGCTTATAGATAGGCTAGGGGAGTGGGCAAGAAGGTGGCAGATGGAATATAATGTGGGGAAGTGTGAAGTTATTCACCTAGGTAGTAAAAACAGAAAAGCAGATTATTTTCTACAGTGGGAGAGACTAGATAGTGTTAGTGTTCATAGGGATTTGGATGTCCTTGTACACCAGTCACAAAAAGTTGGTATGCAGGTACAGCAAGCAACTAGGAAGGCTGATGGCACGTTGGCATTTATTAGAATACAAGAGTAGAGCAGTCTTGCTGCAACTGTATAGGGCCATGGTGAGACTGTACCTAGAATATTGTGTGCAGTTTTGGTCTCCTTATTTAAGAAAGGACATACTCACCTTATCGGGGGTGCAGCGTAGATTCACTAGGTTAGTTCCTGGGATGAGGAGGTTTACCTATGAGGATAGGTTGAGTAAACTAGGCCTATATTCTCTAGAATATAGAAGAATTAGGGGTGATCTTATAGAAACATATAAGATTTTTATGGGGCTTGACAGAGTAGACAGTGTGAGACTGTTTCCCCGGTAGGAGAATCTATAATTAGGGGTCACAGTCTTAAGATTAAGGGTCAGCCTTTTAGAACTGAGTTGAGGAAACACTTCTTCACTCAGAGGGTAGTGAATTTGTGGAACTCTCTACCACAGAAGGCTGTAGATGCTCTGTCCTTGAACATATTCAAGACTGAGATTGATAGATTTTTGAAGGATAGAGGGATATGGGGATAAGGCGAGCAGATGGAGTTAGGTTCGAAGATCAGACGTGATCTTATTGAATGGCAGGGCAGGCTCCAGGGGACCGAATGGCCTACTCTTGCTCCTAATTCCAATGTTCCTACAATGCCGTAATTTACCGGCATTTTTCAGCCCTGGAACAAAGATGGCACGAAATAAAGTTGGTAAATGCCGCTACTGGCATTGTAGTGGTTAGAGCACTCGCCTTGCAAGCGAGAGGACCCAGGTTTGATTTCCAAGCAGGATGAAACTTAGGCAAGTTTCTTTACTCCACACACCTCTGTTTAGCTAACAGTAAGTAAGAACTTGGTTGTTAGTCGATTGCGGATCGCTTTCGGGGGTGGAGGGTAATAATTTCTGCAAAAAATAATTCACGTGATCGCACGATCTACGACTGTTTGTGGATCACTCCTGTGCGCATTTGGCTGCCGCGTTTTGTCCACAAAAATACTCAAATACAAGTCAACCCACTTTGCGGTATATTCTGTGAAGCGCTTTGTGACCGATGTGATAAGGCGCTATCTAATGCAAGGATTATTATAATTGCATTTGGCCGGAAATAACAGTTCACCAGACCTGATCTTCTCTAATAATGCTATTTCTTTCCCAATGGCGTGGATTTTCCTGTGTTGTGCCTTTCAGCGTTCGGAGCCGTACTGCAGGGCAGTGTGTTTGGTCTGGCTGGCCTGCTCCCCACCTACTATACCACCCCCATCATGAGCGGCCAGGGCATGGCCGGCACCTTTGCAGCTTTGGCTTTGATCTGTGCCATCGCAAGTGAGTACACTCCACAGGATTCCCCTCGACAGGACTCTCCTCTCTAATCTCTCTTTCCCACTTTCCCACTCTCTCTCTCTCTCACACTCCTATACTCTACAGGACTTCTCTCTCGCTGGATGGTCCCTTCCTTCTACACTCTCCTTCCTTCGACTAGACACCCTCTTCCCATCCTCCTACAGTATACAGACAGAGCCCCTTTACCCTTCGCTTCCTCCTTCAGTCTATCCCCCTGAATCTCCTATTCTTCCAGGTGGATCTGAGCAGACTAACAGTGCCTTTGGATATTTCATCACTGCTTGTGGGGTCATCCTTATTGCTATCTTGGCTTATCTTGGCCTACCTCGTCTGGTAAGGTCTCAGTTTCAATCTTGTAACCATAAAATTCCTCGAAAATTTAAACTTGTCTCACGTCAATCAATGTTCAATTTAAATTTAATTTCCAACAGTACCTAGATATGTGCGTGGGTGTGTGGGTGTGGGTGGGGGAGCACAGGGGAGCAATTCGTTATGGACCTCCTAGTTTTACGATTTCCCAACCTCTACCTCTTCTCCATAGGGCTGGGCTCAGTGACTCACTTCAACAACAACAGCAACTTGCAATTATAATAATAATACTTGCATTACGACTCAAAGCACATCACAGGATATACTGTAAAGTGAATTAACTATTATATTATATTTATATAGCGCCCCTCACACAGGATAGGGTCTCAGAGCGTTAACAGTGATAGAGTCTGACACCGAGCCAGGGTGGGGCTTGGGTTGACCGTAAGCCTGGTCGAAGAGGAAGGTCTTCAGACGTGACCTGAGGATGGGAAAGGAGGGGGCAAAGTGAAGGGATAGAGGGAGTCAGTTCCAGAGTGTCACGGAGTATTGGCTGAAAGCGCTGCTCCCAATGATGGAACGGAGGGCCACGAAGTTCAAACAGGAGGCCTGAGCTTCAAATAGTGTCACACTTGCCTCTGGGTCATAAGGTTATGGGTTCAAGTCCCACATTGTGACTTTGAACTCACAGTCTACACTGTACTGTCGGGATGCGGTCCTTCAGATGAGATGTTAAACCAAGGTCCCATTGATCTGTTCAGATGCATGTTAAATGTCATGTAGTATAATAATAATGCTTGAATTTCATTTAGTGCTTTTATCACGTCGTTGAGTCATCGTAAAGCGCTTCACAGAGTATTCTGTAAAGTAAATTTAAGCACTCTGAGATGCTGCCCTGTGTGAGGGGCGCTATATAACTGCAAGTTGTTGGGGTTGTTGAATTGACTGCATTTTGTAAGTGAAACACGGCAGCCAATTGCACACAGCAGTGTCCCACAAACAGTCGTGGATTGAGTGACTAAATTATTATTTTTTGGGGGAAGGATTATTACCCCCGGGAAAGCATGACACTATTTGAAAAGAGGAGGGACTTTTTCTCTCCCGGTATCCTGGCCAATAATTCTCCAATGAAATTGGTGTTAAATTGATTAAATCCAAGTCTGTCTGTAGGACATTGCTGTGTGCAAATTGGTTATATTGTAAAGCAAATTTATAGTCATTTGCCTTGGAAATACATATTCACTACCCTTTACAGATAATCATATGAAGCGCTTTGAGACAGACACCCAACATGAAAGTTGCTGCATGAGGTATAAGGATATTATTTTTCTCTGCTCCCCCTTTTCCAGGAGTATGCTCAACACCACTTTAGAAAGGAAAGGTCCAATCATACAGCTCCCACCGAGACATCAGACGAGGCAGATGCTAAATTCAACTTCCTGCCAAAAGGTGAGACACTCGGAAAGTCAGACGGTGGGGTGTAGACTACACAAATTCACAACGCCCCAACTTCTCCCCCCCACCACCCTCTCGTCCAAGGTCCTTGACCAGGAGGTTTGACGATGTGAGGTGGAAGATGATCCAGTTTACATGGATCGGCTTGAAAAATTGGCTCTGTTTTCACCGGAACTTGTGAGGTTTGGAGAGGTTTTAATTGATCTTTTCAAAGTTTTAGAAAGTTTCAGAGGATAAATAACAACAACAACAACAAATTGCAGTTGTTACAGTGCCCTCGTGGGGATGGTGGGAAGGTAAAAGGGCACAAGAAAACAGCAGAGGAATTTGAGTAGAGAGTTCCAGTGTGCGTGCTAACACCAGCACATCACAGATATGACCTGGAGGTGGCAGAGGGGAGAAGGCCGTAGTGAGTTTGTGTGGGGAGCGGTCAGTGAGTGAGCCAGTCGCTCCGGTGTGACATAGAACGGAGCGGATGGGTTCCAGGAATCTATGATGGCTCCTGTTTTCGAGGCAGTGGTGGAGCTGGTGCTTGTGCTGGCTGAGTTCGGTGAGGCTAACTCCGTGACTCTCCTTTCAGATGGAACCCACGACACAGAGAAGGTGCCCTCGATCAGCCTAATGGACAAAGAAGAGGAGGCGGAGCAGAGCGAGAATGTGCCAGTCATCGCAATCTTTAAGAAGGCTGGTTCCTCAAATAGTGTCCCGGTGGTTACACCATAGGCGCCACTGCTCTTCCCCATTTCACACCCAAATAAAAATTGGTCATTCACTCCATGGCTGTTTGTGAGACGCTGCTGTGCGCAACTGGCTGCCGCGTTTCAGCCACAAAATATAGTCAATTCACTTTACAGTATATAGGTATATATACGGTCTTGTGCAGTTGGCGTCTCGATTGGGTCAGTGTAGTTAGGTTCTAGATTGGAGCTGCGCAGTTGGGTTCTACAATTGTTGGTTTCCAGAACCGTTTTCCTTCAATTGGGCAACAATTGCTGCAAAAGGAAAGAGAGATGTATGGCAAATAGTTGTGAATGTTCACATTGGAGGGGAGACCCTTACTGAAGTCTTTCAGATTCTAGTGGGTGTAGATTCATGAGACTCCAGTACCTTATTACTTTATATGGGTCGAGGCTTCCCTGGTCTCTCACTCAGAAGGGGTGGAGGAATGGAGTGAGATTGAAGCACATTATTCACAGGGTGTGTGAGTGGATTGGGTTGTCCAGGGAGATGGATCGTGAGGTCAGTTTCACAAGGGAATTGAATCTTCTTTTTTGAAAACAAAGGAAATTTGGAGAGTGAGAGTTAAGGAGAGATTAGATGTGTGTGGCCAGATGTACTGGAGTGTTCTCTTCTGCATCTGCAGATCCATGTGTCCCTGGGTGGGATCTGATCTTCTCTTCCTTTCGTTCCAGTTGTGGCTCATGGCTCTTCTCGTCTGCTTCACATTCACGGTTACCATCGGGGTGTTCCCAGCAGTCACTGTCGATGTGAAGTCTATCGTATCCCCCAAAGGAACCTGGGGTAAGAATCTGGTTGTAAGAAGCAACAACGACAACACTGAATTCCTACTGTGATTTCCCACACATTCCCTTCGCATCGTCCCCTCCCTTGCCTCTTTCAAGGCCAGTCTCAAGACTCTCTTTTTCAACCGTGCCTTTGGTCACCCTCCTAACCCTACCCTCCCTGCTCTCCACCCCTCCTGATACAAACCCTCAGCTTGGGTGCAAATCCTTGACTGTCTTGGGACATCCTCCCAATCTGAAAGGTGCAATACAAATGTAAATGTTGTTGGTGTGAGAACAGTGAGGAAATACCTTCAGAGAGGATTGAGACAGTTACGGCACCACTTGAGCAGAGAGAGAATGAGGAATCCCTGATTGTATAATATACACAGGAGTATTATGCTCTGTAATATATTACATGATGTTTTATATAATATACAGTAGAGCCTCAGTATAACCTGGTGATTAGAATATCCCTAAAGTTCTAACCTGCCCTAAAGTGAATTGTTACAGCCAGTTTCACTACATATGAATAATAATAATACTTCTTGGCATTTGAGATAGCAAGTTATCACATCGTTGAGATGTCTCAAAGAGCTTCACAGAATTGACTGTGTTTGTGGGCAAAATGCTACAGCCAATTGTGCACACCAGTGCCCCACAAACAGTCGTGGATTGAGTGAGCAAATTTTTTGGGAGGTGGGATTATTACCCCCGGAGAGCGATCCGGCAATTAACTGTATTAAAACAATAAATAAATAATAATTTGGTCACTGAATTCGCGGCTGTTTGTGGGACACTGCTGTGCAGAATTGGCTACCGCGTTTCTCTCACAAAATACACAGTCAATCCACATGATATATAAATGCAAGTTGTTGTGTAAGAGGCACATTTTACTGAGGCCTCACTGTACACAGAAACATTTGACCCAATAGCACATGATGTGTTATTATGTAACTGAGACGGAAGTAATCTTAGAGAAAAGGTTTGGATAATTCACATTTTTTGTTGTTATCTAACCCAATAGCTCATGATGTGTTATCATGTAACAGAGACAGAATTAATCTTAGAGAAAATGGTTTGGATAATTCACATTTTTTGTTGTTATTTGTCTTGCGTTTCTCTCATTTCTCTTTTCCTTTCTTAGGCTTGTATTTTATCCCAATCGGCTGCTTCTTGTTCTTCAATGTCTTTGACTGGGTCGGTCGTAGTCTGACTGCCATCTTCATGTGGGTAAGTTCTGGCTCTCGTTAGATACAGTTCTATACTCCAACATCAACAACAGCTTACATTTATATAGCTCCCATTACGCAGAACTCTTGACAGTGGCAGAGCACAACACCGAGCTGGGGGAGGGGATGTGGTGACCATTAGAACAGTCAATGAGTAACTTCTTCAGGTGTCACCTGAAGATGGGGAAGGATGGGGCAAGACTGAGGGATCGAATCATAGAATTCTTGCAGCACGGAAGGAGGCAGAAGGATAGAGGGAGAGCGTTCCAGGTTTCGGGGCATTGTGGCTGAAAGTGCACAAGAGACAAGCAGGAGGCCGGAGCCAGTCGAGCGGAGGCAGCAGGTGGGTTGGGGAGTACGGAAGTCGGAGAGGTAGAATTGTGCCAGAGCGTGAAGGGATTTGAAGACGAGGATCTTGAACTCACACACACACACACACACACACGCTTGCCATTGATATCGCTGTCTGGCAAGCTTTCCCGCTGCTTATCCAGCCAGGATCACGCTACCAGTTAGGGCTTTGGCTTGCAGGCCAGTGCTATTCCTTACTCTGGGGAAGCCATTGGAATATCCTGCGTTTATGTGTGTGTATGACTTAACCCAAGGTTATCACCTCCATTTCACAATGAGTGAGCTGGCTGAATCAGCAGAGTCAGCCTTTCACATTCCCACACCCAACCCCCTCCACCAGAACTGTGTATCCTGCCCTTTGAATGGCCACTTCCCCATATCTCTCCCTTAGTCCAAACTCACGAGACTTATTGATGTTTCATCTCACTGCTTTGTGTGGAGCACAACACTGACTCACACAACAACAAATTATCCACTGTGCAAAGCACTTTGAGATACTCGAACGGGATAAGATGCTAAAATCCAATACAAATAGCATTTAATTAATTATTTAGAAGATGATTTAGGGGGACGATTTGCCAGGGACAGATCTATTATCTGACTCCCATATTCCCGAAGAAGGGATTCTGCTGTCCCATCCCTCACCCAGACCAAAAATGCAGAAGCAGCTTTTACTTTTCACGTCATAAGATGTGGTTTAGCTCAATTAGCTAAATTGCCCTCTCCTGGATCAAAAGGTTGTGGGTTCAAGCCCCATTGTAGGGGACTTTAAGCATAATAATAATCCTTGCATTTGATTTAGCGCCTTATCATTATCTTCGAAACGTCTCAAAGCACTTCACAGAATATACTGTAAAGTGAATTGACTGTATATTTTGTCGGCGAAACGGCAGCACACAGCAGTGTCCCACAAATAGTCGTACATTCAGTGAACAAATTATTATTATTTTTGAAAGGATTATTACCCCCGAAAAAACGATCTTCCAAACCACCGGGAAATCAAACTTGGGTTCTCTCGCTTGTGAGGCGAGTGCTCTAACCACTAAGCCACAGGACTCTGTTATAGCACTCACCTCGATGTGAGAGGATCTTGGTTCGATTCCCGGGCATGGCGAAAATTTAGGCAAGTTTCCTTACTCCACCGGCCTCTGTTTACCTAGCAGTAAGTAAGTTGATTGGCGGATCGCTTTATGGGCGTAATAATCCCTTAAATAAAATAATAATTTGGTCAGTCATTCCACGACTATTTGTGGGACACTGCTGTGTGCAATTGGCTGCCGAGTTTCACCCACAAAATATACAGTCAATTCACTTTACTGTATATTCTGTGAAGTAATTTGAGACGTCTCAATGATGTAATAAAGCGCTATATCAAATACAAGATTATTATTATTATTAAAGTCCTGACCTGAGGTTTGAACCATTTGCAACAGAGGCGGGAGCTCAAGTGAGAGTGACATGAAGTTTAATAATAATAATCCTTACATTTGGTATAGCACTTTTCATATCAGGGTGGATATCTCAAAGGGTTTCACAGGATATCGGTAAAGTGTAGCGACCGACTATTTTGTGATTTGTACAACAGTGTCCCACAAGCAGCCATGAAGCAAATTACTAATTTGAATTAGGGGATTGTTGGCCAGGGCATGAGGAGAAATTCCCACCTCTCTTTTCGAATAGTGCCAAAGATTCTTTAATGTCCACACAAACTGGCAAACAGGCCTGCGGTTTAACGTCTCACCGAAAGGACGGCACCTCTGACAACCCTCATTGTCTGCCTGGACCGTGAGTTGAAAGTCCTGAAGAGGGGCTTGAACTCACAATCTTCTGACTTAAGAAATGAGAGTGTTACCAACTGAGCCAGGCTGACTCACATTAGATGTGAAACCAAGGAGCAGCTAATCCCCCAGTAAGTAAGTCAATTAGTTCCAGTCCCTCTCTCGGATACTCATGGTTGTCACATAATTTGGGAAAAATTTAGAGTTATTACTGGCAGGCTACCCGGCTACACTCAGCATTTATAGTAATTGTGTAACAATAACAATACAGTACTTCCATTTGATATAGAAATGTCTTCAAGCGATTCACATGATGTTACTGTGTAATGAGCTTGCACTTGCAAGCTGTGTTTATTAATCTTTAAATTTATTGGTTAGAAACATGTTAAACAATCAAATTCCCAGGGGAAATTAGTGGAAAAGGGATTTAGAAGGCAGTTTCTCCCAGCGTCACAAGATCACAATATCAGTCTGGGTGAAGAAGGCCCTTCACCCCATCTGATCTCCTCGCTCCAGAACACGCACCCTAACATACCCACCCTTCACTGTATCAAGCTGTTTTTTAAGTGAGTCCCAGTGTCCTGGCTTTAGCCATCTTTCCTGGCAACTTGTTCCAGTCCTTGCTTACCCTCTGTGTAAAGCAAAACATCCTGGTATCTATCCTGAAAGTATAATAATAATAACTCTTGCATTTAATATAGCGCCTTATCATGCCATTGAGACGTCTCAAAGCAGATCACAGAATATACTGTGAAGTGAATTGACTGTACGTGAAAGGCGCTTTATAAATGGAATCTTGTTGTAGTTGTTGTTGTTGTATATGTTGTGGACGAAACGCGGCAGCCAATTGCGGACAACAACAACAACAACAACAACAAGATTCCATTTATAGAGCGCCTTTCACGTCAGGAGGACGTCCAAAGGCGCTGCACAGTTGGGTCATGACCCGAGCAGGGGGGAAATGGTCAGGGTGACGGGAGGGAAGGGAGGGAGAGAGGAGGGGGGAAATGGTCAGGGTGAGGGGAGGGAAGGGAGGGAGCGAGGAGGAGGAAGAGAGTCGAGAGGGGAGCTGAAGGCACGGTCAAAGAGAAAGGTTTTGAGACCGGCCTTGAAGGAGGAAAGGGAGGAAGCAAGGCGAAGGCACTGGGGGATGGAGTTCCAGAGCCTGGGGCTGAGAGGCTGAAGGCCCGACCACCGATGGTAGGGCGGTTGGGGCGGGGGACGTGGAGCAGACCGGAGCCAGAGGAACGGAGGGTACGGGCAGGTAGGTAGGGGGATAGTAGGTTGGAGAGGTAGGAGGGAGCAAGGCCGTGAATGGCCTTGTAGGTGAGGATGAGGATCTTGAAATCAATCCTCTGGGGGATGGGGAGCCAGTGGAGGCGAGCGAGGGTGGGAGTGATGTGGTCGCGGTGTCTGGTGCGGGACAGTACACGAGCTGCAGAGTTCTGAATGACCTGCAGCTTGTGGAGGGAGGTGGCGGGAAGGCCGGCGAGGAGAGAGTTCCCATAGTCCAGCCTTGAGGTGACAAAGGCGTGAACCAGGGTTTCAGCAGCGTGAGGGGTGAGGTAGTGCCGTAATCTGGCGATATTCCGGAGGTGATGGAAGGCGGTGCCAGTTGTGGTGCGGATGTGAGGGAGAAAGGACAGCTCAGGGTCGAACAAAACGCCGAGGTTCCTGACTGGCTTTGAGAGGTGGAGAGTACAGCCTTGGATGCTGATGGTGTCAGCGCCTGAGGTGCGGAGGCGCTGACGTGAGCCAATCAGGAGGGCCTCGGTTTTTCGCACGTTGAGCTGAAGAAAGTTGTCTCTCGTCCAGGACTCGATGTCGGACAGGCAGGCTGTCAGGACATCGGTGGTCGTGGAGTTGAGAGTAGAGGAGGAAAGGTAGAGTTCAGCAGTGTCCCACAAACAGTCATGGATTGAGTGAGCAAAACAAAACAATTTTGTAAGTAGGAACTTGGTTGTTGGTCAAAAAATGTTTTGTTTGTTTTGAAGGGATTCTTACCCCCGGAAAAGCGATCCGTGAATCGACTAACAACCGGGTTCCTACTTACTGCTAGGTAAACAGGCGTGTGGAGTAAGGAAACTTGCCTAACGTTTCACTATGATGGGGAATCAAATTCAGGTCCTCTCGCTTGCGAGGCAAGTGCTCTAACCACTGAACTACAAGTCTCCACTCCTAAACCAAGCTGAGAATTCCATGATCCCACCTACACATGGAAATCCCAGAGGTAGATTGTTGAATTGGAATGCGCACTCTCTCTCTGGAGAGATGTATCCTGCTTGCCTTATCGCCTTAAATATTAGGCGCAGGTTGGCAAGAACCAAGGCTTGGGGACCCCAGAGTGTGCATTGGGGTAACTCCTGGAGTCTAACCGGCTAAAATCGCATAGCTTACCATTGAGAACACTGTCTGGAAAGCTTTCCCAATGCTTGTCCAGCAGGGACCACCTTATCCATTAAGGCTTTGGTTTGCAGGGTTAATAGGAGCTGAGTGGGAGGAGTCCCTGGGCGATTGACTGGGATGATTAATGGTTCTGAGAATCTAGGATACTTGTGACAGTTTTATTTTTGGCTCCAGTAAATGTTTCCAGTTTTCACTCACAGTCACTGCATGACATTAAAACATTTCCTTCGCTCTGAGCAATTGCTGGAACCAGCCAGCCAGCCAGCGCACCCACCCCTACATTCTCAACCCACCATCTGGTTGGACTACATGCCATCTCCATTCCACGGCCTCCTCTCTCACTAACTGTGAGTCCTGTAGCTGTCCTGTTGTGGAGTCCTGTAGCTCAGTGGTTAGAGCTCTCGCTTTGCAAGCGAGAGATCTGAGTTCAATTCCAGGCAGGGCGAAACCTTGGGCAAGTTTCCTT